AAAAAAGATAGAAACTAAGAAATTTAGACCTTCTCCATCACTGCCCGTGCCAGTGAAACAGGGTTGGCAATGTTCTTTACTGAGGACACCGCACCAGTGGCAAGTGTCCTTCCATCCATGATAATGGCATCCAGCTCCACTTCTCCATCTTTATTTAGTACTGCTCCGTGCCCTACAGAGAAAAACAAGTTAGAGATGAGATAAAAACTATGTTCACTTAAATTATGCCAGCTCCACCCTTACAAATATGCAGGGTAATGGCAAAGCAGTACAGACACTGCAGCACCATACTACTGACTGATGTCTAGTTTGTCTGACTTTCAATGGCACAAATAATTGTAAAAGTTCTTGGGATATTCATACTTTCTATCATACCCGTATCATTATGTTGACTTCCAACTCCATATTTTTACTCATAGATTTTTTTTAAATTGATTCAGTGTGCAACTGACTCTGGGCTGTGTAGTAAAAGCCGGCACTTTATATGTTTGACAACTTGTCAGGGTAAAGAAAGCAACAGACGATGTTAATAGACAGATATTAAGGTTTAGCCAGAGATCATCTCTCATATTCTTAAAGGAGTCCTGATGGATATTCTCATCATGACCAGTAGATGGAGACATTGTTCTGCAGTTGAAGCCAGCTTAAACAATAAAGGAAAATGGGCATTCTCATTTGGCTGCTGTATGGACATGTGAAAGGAACTGGGGTTTTATGATTTACTTATTTATTTGAGTAAAGGTGAGGGTGCTACAAATGCCGTATACAAAGATGAAGCCCCCATTTAATAACTTGCATATTTTCAAATGGAACTACTTGGCATAAATGTGTCCCAATCTAATAAAAACCGTCTGTACCTGCGTCAAACACAGTGTTATCTTCCAAAGCCCTCACAGCCACTTCAACAGCATCCACTGCACTTCCTCCTCGTTTCAGCACTGAAAATCCTTCGCGTGCTGCAGTTTTTACTCCATCAACAGAGGCCTTGGCCAGTTCATCCGGTATGGCCCATGCCCCACCATGCACAACCAAGACTGCTGACATCTTTGCTTTCCTGCGTGGAATAGACAAAGTAGTTTATTAACAGGTTTCAGCCCAGAGAATAATTCACTTTTTCTTTGAACATTAGGAAAAGCACCAAGTGATCATTGGTATCTTCTTTTTGCCTTGATCCAGACATACTTCTCAAACTTTTACATACAAAGAAATGTCTTTCGTTTAATAAACGGAAACTGCTAAACTAATTATTTGCTCTGCACTCCACTGGTAATGTATTTGCACCACACGAATTTGCACCTTGGAACAACTGATACAACTTCTATCGAAGATCATATCATCAAGACTGAACTTTGAGATGTGGTCATTGTAGCCCGTGTTGCCAGTTTTTGGCTATTGCCTGGCTATTAGAAGACCAATGCAATTAGAACAGCTGTTAATAATAAGTTATCTTAAATGTATTATGGCTTTAGCAGCTTTGAATTACCAGCTACAATCAAGTACTAAACTATAATAATTGATCTTCTCATAATTTATTATGGTTCAATTTTTATGTGCACATAAACATTTTTCCCCTATTACCTGGATGCACTTGAACTGTGTTTAATGTACTGTAATCTACTCACAGTCGCTGACGTGATATTGATAGTTATTCATTTCATTCGGACCAACCTGTAACATATTGAGACATTGCATTTTGTCCTACCTTTTCCGAGCCTCAGAATTTCCGGAAGGATAAACACTTCGCCATAGACACGTGACTTCAAGAGACTACCGTTCGCGGTTTAACTAGCGCGTGCAGCACACTGACGTCAAGTTTGTCACTATGGCCACAACCGAGGAAAGACTTCCTACAAGTTTTCAAAATTAAATCCTCACGCCACTAAGCAAACTAAGAAGCACAATGTTAAAAGGCTCATCTTGTATGGCGTTATTTTTGTGCCACTATTCTGAGCGCACGTAAAGTGGCACAAAAATAACGCCATATACGGACAGCTATGCTCCTTTTCGCTGATTCTGGACATTGTTTTCACTTCATCACTTAAATCACTTTAAGCATATTTGCACTGCACAAGACATAATGTGGATTGCACAACACTGGTCACTATATTCTTCATTTCCAGTTAATACTTGTACAGCTGCTGTTATTGTGTATATATTTATTTATTTATATTTCTTCATACATTCTTATATAGTTCTATACTGTGTATTGTGTATTTTGTTGTACAGTTATTTTATTTTCAACTTTAATTTATATATGTTATCTTATTCTTTCCCAGTTAAATTTACCCTTCATTCTAATTTGTATTGTACAGTTATTTCATTTTTAACCTTAATTTATATTTTATTCCTTCCTAGTTAAATTTACCCTTTTAAATTTTTCATATTTATTTCCTATCTTATTCATAGCCTTTTCCTCTCTTTTTTTCCTCCCCTTTAGGTCACGAGCAGTTGTCTAAGCATTTCACTGCATAACGTACTGTGTATGACTGTGTACGTGACAAATAAAATTTGAATTTGAATTTGAATTTTGAAGTACTTGGGTATTGTAATGTAGTTTTATTGTGAAAACGTCTGAATTTTTGGAGTCGTGTGCTTGGCTCGATAAAGGCGGAGCTAAAAAAGGGCAAAAAGAGGACAGAGTTTAACAAATGGTCAAGCAGTTGGACTATATAACGTGGACACATGGGCTAGTTTTCACCAGCTGCAGGTTATATCATAGGCTATTGAATTCTTAAACGTATATATTATGTAGGGTGCATGCTTTAAAGTTCCTTAAAACATTTTTTAAAATGTAAGTACCCAGAAAAGAATCTGCAAACGACACAACTGCTGAAAAGAAAGCAGAAAAATTAGAATAAAGTTACTCTTATATTACTCATTTTTACAGAGAATCAGCAACAAACTTTAAAACACAAACTTTTATAAAAGGAAAATATAGCTCCGTGAAAATGTGAAAACAGATTAAAGCGAACAAAAGGAGATAAACAACTTCTTCTAAACTAATTTGATGTTACCCAGAGGTGTTCTGGTGTTAAATGCCTTACATTAAAGCGTTGCCATAATGTAAATTTTTAACGATAGTGTTACCAGTCCGTCAGTAAAATGTATAACGTTGCACTTTGACCAGTAGAGGGCTGCAAGAGTCCATCAAATGCATAGACCGCATATAAAGAAACATACATACTAGTTATGACCAAACCAAGAGGAAACGTTGATATTAAAATTGTAGTGTCAGTTATACTTTGATAAAAGTATTTTCTTAAAGAAGTTAAAAGAAGTTTAAATTTTACTCACACACAGAAAGCTAAACTTTCTAATTTTAAGTTCTGACCCTAGTAGTTCTGTTGATAGACTGTAAATAAAAGATGGATGTTGCCACCGTGACATCATAAACAGTATAAAACATGGACATGATTTGAGGGTCATAAATATGAACCCACTGGAGAAGTGTCTTGAACCTGCAATCTATCCGTAGGCCACCAGATGGTGATAGCTGTTGTTTGCAAAAAAGACTTTGGGCCATGTTGAGGTTTCTCATGTAAAGTCACGTGCACATTGCTCAATAATTGTTTGCCATATTGGGCATGATATAACCACCGGTTGGTAGAAAAAGGTGCAACTTTTACTTTGTAGCAAATGATCTACATTTCTGATTCGCTTCACACTTTTCACTGTTTCACTACAGCCTGGAGAGCAGCTGGGAAGTGTTCATAGAGAAAACCATCTCTTTCATTATTTTTAAAAATAAAAAGTTGAAGTGAGAAGAAATATAACAGTTTTTTTATGCAGTAAAATTTGGAATGTTAAGATTGGAGTTTTTGGAAATTGATTTGCTTTTGCCTCTCCACTAGTTTCAGTCTTGTGTTGGCTTAATTTTGGATTATTTTCCATCTCGTTGAGATGATGAAAGCAGACATTTTTCTATAAAAATATTTAGAAATGTATTAAAAACTATAGTTTTAATAAGCTGTCTATGGTTTTTTTTTGCTATTGTTTTCATCTGTTGGTGTGTGTGGTGTGTGTCTATTCCAATGTGCCTGCATTAGTTTATATCTACAAACATACTATAGACTTACAAGACTCAAACACATTAACCGTCATAACCCTCATTACCATTAATAGTCACAGCAACAGCAGCATGATTTGCATTAACGCTGTCATAAATCATTTTATTGAATGGAATTAAATCAGTGAAGGTCCAGCGAGCATGAAATGCAAAGACAGTACTGGCCAACGTGGGCATAGCTGCTTGTTTTAGGCTTTCAAGAAGAAAAATAAAGCTGTGTCTGATTTCATAGAGAGAACTTAATGAAAAATAAATGGAAAGAGGATGTAAGTGTGAAGTTTTAATCAATACTAACTCCTTTAAGGCTTGTTTGGCATTGCAGAAATAAGCAGATTAATGAAATAGTTCTGTCAGACAAACCCGCTTGGGTATTCTGGCCTCTAAAACAGTCTTTTAAATCACCTTAAAAAGCCATAAAAAAAGTCATACTCTGTAATCTTCAATGCCAATACACAATTTAAATGAAAGAAACCATTGGCTCAGTTTTATGGGTATTTCCAGCCATTAATGTACCACAGAGCACCCCAAAACAACAGCACTAGATTTCCGAGACAAATGTTCTGGTTTCTCAGAAAATATTAAATTCTACCAAAACTGAGAAGAATCCTAAATACTATGAACATAATTGACTCATATTCACAAAGCATTGCTGTTTGCAGCCGCGAGGAGCCTTTATGATTCTGATCAGTGCGGGGAGAAACAACTCTAAAGGTCAAGTGGAGCCAGAATTGGTCGTTCACCAGCCTCATCTGCTCAAATCTAATTTGTGAGTTAGTAAAGCAGCCTGCATGCTGTGCCGAAGATGACTTTTGGATTCAAGTCAATATCATGGCTTGGGGACAAGAGAGCCATTTGAAGAGACATAAACATTCATGCTTACAGTGCAGACACCACTAACGCTGGCTCTTGATGAGTAAGTGAAGAATTCACTTTATTATTAAATATCTATTTATATTAAAGCTTCTTTAAGCCACGTCTGCCACTAACTATGCAAGCAGCTAAAGCTCTACTAGAGTTGACCTTCTTCAGCCATAAGAGGGGATCCACCTCAAAGGATGTAAGGAAAAGATCTGACCAGCATTGCAAATTATGCATCTCTGGGGGGTTTTGTTGTTGTTTTTGCTGACATAAGTTCATTAAGTAACATGGAAAAACTAATGAATGGATTATTTAGCATGAATACCTTGAAATATATGTTTTCACTCTGTGACAATACAGCCAGACTTCCTTTACAGCATCAATGTAAAACTTATTTTGTATCATTTACCAGGTATCAAGGTTTAAATGTGCAAGTTTAATTGCACATTTAAACCTTGAGACATTTTGATATAAGAAAAATAATGTTCAGTTTCAAAAGTACATCTTGGTTTTTCTACATGGTAAAGAAATGCTGCTGGGAAATCTGTCAGTATGACTTAAAGATGTAAACAGAAAAAAGTTAATCCATGTGCACAATGGATACTGTGGAATGGATACACAGTATATCAACCCCCCCCCCCCCCCCTCCGTGAAATTTCTGTGGTAGACAGTACAAAACACAAAAATAGCACCAATAGCCATGTGTCTATGCCTTTGTCAACAGTTTCCAAAGCTGTCCAGTGGGACAGGATTAGAGTCTTTGCCAGACTGATTTGGGTCCCTAAGCCTTATGTTTGACACCCCTGCTTTAGCATGTGGAATGGAGTTAATGAAGTTGATCATGTGATGTGGAGTCTGAAGAACAGTATGCTGTAAGCTAGTTTTTGGTTATCTAAGACAAATTCAATATGTACAAACAAATCAGACAGCAGCCAGTGTTTAGCACCATGAATAGTTGTGTTGTCCCTCATAGGTGAATGCCTGCGGGCTACTTTGTACTGACTTTGTAGTTACTTTGAAACTCACGAGCTGCATAAAAAAACCCCATTTAATTAAGCGACATTTATATGGTACAGTCTGTTAGCGCAACAAAACTTTACTAGCATGCTTTATTTGTTCTCCGCGGAGTACTATATCCAATATTATTAAAGTTTCCAGCTTCAGAGACCGTTGTCAACAGCAACCAAATGCAACCCCATCCTTTTTAAAGCAATTCCCTTAAAGAACACTGAGCATTTCCTTTACGCTCAGTGGGGACCTTTCTTGGTGTTTCAGCAGCGCCAGTCCCAGAATATGGCCAATAATGTTGCTGAGGGGCGGGGAGCAGCGCGGTCTGCAGACCCACTGAGTCTGGCGGGGTGCCGAGGAGAGGCAGCAGGCAGCGGTAGCAGAGATGGGCTCACACCTTTGAATCACAAATCAGCACCCCCACCCCTACCCCAGTCAAGCATCTCGGGAGACACTGGAAGACCAATTTTTGGAGGGGGTTTTGCTGGTGTTCCTCATTAAGACCGGTAGACTACAGCTACCAAGAAGCAGGAGCGGCAAGGGTTATAGTTGCATTGTGACGTTCAGCACTCCTGCCGTCTCACCTGCACTGCCGGTGAAGAGGTCCGCTGTGATAAAGATGCATCCAGATAAGTACCTACCTGAGCTGGTGTCCGAGAAAAACAGCCTGGACCCCTCCTTTGTGCATGCGGTGCGCCTGCTTGCAGAAGGTAAGTGAAGTATATATGTGTGTGTATATAGAATATATATCTTTTTTCAAGTCTAATGCACTCTGAATGTTGGACTTGGCGACAGTCACGATGTTCATTCTAACGTGAAAGCACAATTGCATTGAATTTTGGGGCAGTACAGTGAGCTGATGTGAGCTTGTTTTTAACACACTTTTAGTGCTTGCGTGGCGACAGTTGAATTCTCTGTGCTGTGCGTTTAATGTAGACACTGCTCTTCGGCTCCAGTGAGGAACTTTTGTTGGGTTTTTCCCAAAACTTCAAGTGAACAAATGCTGTGAGCAGAGACAATAAAGTATGTGTACAGTCAGAGGGGGTTATTGTAACCCCACTGTCCGCCAAGATCAATGCGCTGGCTCACATAAAATAAAGCCAATGTCTTCCTTGAGGATTTCTCATTGACTTCAGGGCAAGAATAATCAAAAAGGTGCCACATTCGTCAGTCCAACAATCATAGTACTGTATTAAGGTAAACGTGCTCTTAATCCTGTTATACTGTGTGCTGCCAGCCAGTATTTTTTCTGTTAAATATGTGAATTGTGTGGTCATTTATCAAGCCAAATATCACCTCTCTAATATTTTAATTATTCCACGTGAGCTAAACCTTGGAGGCTAAAATCAAAGTGTTTGTAATTATTGCATCATGAGTCATAGATTTCTGACTGAACGAAAATTGATAGATGCACACCTCCTCTTACAGGATAAATGCCATCAAGGTAATGGAGAACAGAAAATGTCAGTGAAACATGCTGTAAAGCCTTTCCTCCAGAATAATGTTACTGTATGTCAACAGAGTGCCGCAATCAGCCTGCAGCATTTAAAGTACTTTGTAGCCTTCATCTCATTCACATGCTGAGAATGTGTCACTTCTGATAGGAAGTGTGTCACCTCAAAGCAAACACAAAAACTCAGCTCAGCTCATTCAGCCCAGAGATGCAACTTTTGCATTTTCTCGTAGACTGCGTGGTCTCTCTTCCTGTAATTGCACAAGTCTGGTTGATGTGCAGTGCTATAAAAGCTTGGATAAAGGTTTGAGTGACGTGCTACTGGAGTGAAAGGCTGAATGATTATCATAAATGTGAATGGATTAACCTGTGTGGACTTACCAGGAACGTATTCCTGCACAAAACAATATATCAGCCATAAAATGACAAAATTAAACATAAAATGCTGTCATATGTTACATGACTGTAAAACACTCAGTGAAATGCTTTCTACTGGTTTTCCTGTGTGCTAAAAATGTTGGTGATTCTGAAGGCAGTTGATTTAACTAATTTATTAGATCATGCGTGTATGCTAATTTTGGGTTCTGACATGTTTGTTTAAAAATGTAAAGTCACACTTTGTGTTAATTAGCTGCTGGACGGGGTGTGTGCGCGATCTGCTGTTCGACCCCTTGAGCTTTCCTGTTGAAATGTGTTGATGAGACACCTGACACTCCCATTCTTGTCGCTAACTGGGATCCAGATGGGATCATCTGTCACACAGTACACTTTGCCATATGTACTCAAGCCTAACTCACACAGTCAGGATGCAATCAAAGAATGCCATCCACCACTATGAACTGCAATTAGCATGTTACATGTGGATACCTATGTTTTTGTTTTTTTTACTGACTTTTTTCTCAGAGCAGTTTCAACAGTTCACAACAAATACACACACTACAATGCCCCATAATTAACAATACAGTACAGTCTTCAATATTAGAGTACAATACTGTAAAAAAAAAAGTATATAATACATTGCAATGCATTTGTCTGAGAAGAATGCTGTTGGCAAAGTCAGTAAACAGAAACCTCTCTGTATTCATCAAACACAAAAGTGGCCAATCAGTATAATAAACTGTCAGTTCAGTCAGTCTTGCAATGTCCAAAACAATCAGCCGTGGGCAGCATGTGAAAAAATGTTCAGCACAGACTTGTTATCTTGTGTTGTCAGTCTATGGGTATCAGTGGACAGCAAGATAAACTGCGTTTACAGATTTACAGATTCGCAGCTATTTATCACTGAATATCAAAGCATGTAATCCTGTGTTATTAACATCATGCACAATCGACAGCATAACATGGATTAACCATGGTCACAGTTAGCATCTCCATATTTATGAAACGAATTATTTACTGTTTGTGTTTATGTTATGTTGCTTCTAAAACCGTTTGTCTCTCTTTGAGCTGATTTAAAACTCTTTGGAACAAAGCTCCAGTCCGCGGCTGTAAACTACGGGTGGGTGGGGATAATTCTCTTGTCGAGCTGAAACTAAGCTTCCTCTTATGAAGCAGCAAGGGTTGTTAGACAGAATGTATGAATATATTGGTATATTATACAATCAAAACTGTATGTAGAGTATTTTGAAACTGCTACAACTTTGCTCCACAATCTCAAATGAAGATTTTTTTTCTTGGACATGCTGCATGAGGCTAATGATTCCTCAGACTGACAGATAAGAGTCACTTCTTTCAAGTTTTGCACTTTAAGTTTCCTCAGCCTAAAGAACTGTGTAGTTAGTCTGAACGTGGGCTCATGTCACTGTAAAGAAAGGCAAGCCTTTAATAGATCCCAGTGGTTTTCTTTGTAAGGCTTGCCTACATGCCATGCAGCCTCGTCTTGCCATGAAAACCGGTGGGATTTCTAATAAGGCAGCAAGCAAAGCAGACAGGGAGACAGACAAGAAAACTGTCTGTTAAGAAAAAAAACTAAATGTGTGCACTACTCTGTCATTCCATTTCTGAAAGAGGCATTTCTCCATGTCAAGATAGTTTACATTTTCACTAAGCATTGTAAAAGGGTATATATTATCTCAAATACAAGTGCTGCTAGCGAGAGTGACAATGCAAATAAAATCTGCATGAAATTTGAAGGATGTAGACTTCTCTGAATCAAATCGGAATATAGATATGGAGGAGGCCCAACACCATGCCAAGTGCAATTTTAGACATTAGCATAGTTTGGGCTCAAAATACACTTTAATCTGCATCTTGAAGAACTTTTCTTCTCAGTCTGTTCATTTTCTCCTTACATTTAGTTACTGCTATTAGTATATGAGCACTCAAGGTTTCCACTGATTCCTCTCCTGCACTTTCTGGACTTGTGTTTAAGTTTGATTATCAAGATAATGCTTCAAAAATCTTCTTCAATACATGAGCTTTCTTTTTGCATAGTTAAGAATACACTTAGAGTACATATTGCAGTGGTATAAGCACTCTTCAGAACGCACACAGACGCTTATAAATTTCTCGCTTCAATGAGTATGCTTTTTATAAAACTGTGATTAAACAGTATTAAGCAATAAAAAAATCAGCAGGAAATACAAAACTTTATTAATTCTTTTGGTGGAAAAAACAACCTGTGGTGATTGTACACAACCACAAACACACAGTTAAATTAATAATGTGGTAATATTCTTCCACTCTCCACACACACATAAATCAAACAGAGTTATGGTTTCAGTCTCCAACAACATTCCCACATTTAAGTAAATTTGCAGTCTCTAGAGCTACATGACAACCACTTAGTTTCTTTGGTTTAATTAAGTTGCTGAATTTGTTTACAAGGTGGTAGTGAGACCTATGCTGTGATTTATGGTTCATAGACGGTGGGACTAACAGAAAGACGGGAGGTGGAGCTGGAGATGGTACATGCTGAGATTTTGACTGCGAGAGTCCAGGATGGGCAGGATTAGAAATGAGTACATCAGAGGGACAGCTCAGGTTGAGCGTTTGGGGAAAAAAGCATGAGAAGCAACAGTGAGATGGTTTGGACATGTGCGGAGGAGGGATAGAGGACATATGAGAAACAAGGGAAAAAATTATCCTTCAGTTAAACTTTTTTTGTGTTTCCTGCCTCTTTGGAGCTAAAAGGACCAATCAAAAACATGGGATATCATTGCAAAGGCCAGGATGTCCTCGATTGGGGACATCAGAACTTAGTAGGGTAGCTCAAATATGTCAAAAGATATAGACCAATGTACATTACAGAAGACATAAATGAGTGGACTGTGTCTCAGGAGGTTACTGGACCGTTGATGTTGAATATGGAACTGCCAGGCAGAAGAAGAGGAAGACCATAGAGGAGGTTCATGGATCTAATGAATGCAGAAGGTTGGTGTGACAGAAGAGGATGCAGGGGATAGTGTGATCTGCTGTGGCAGCAAAGGGAATAGCCGAAAGAGGAAGGAGATTAATTTGTTCCGATGCACTTTATGGCACTACACTGTATTCTAAATGATGGTGCATACTTTGGGTTTGCATTGTTTTGTCACTGATTTATAGAAGCTGCATTAATTACTTATTAATTACTATTGCCTTTGTGATTTACCTGCCTGCCTGCTTCCGCAGTCCTTCCTGGTTTGAGCTAAGGAAGAGGTTGAGGGTGTTGCTGGCCAACCAAACTGACTGAACCAACCAACCAATTTAGTTATTGTCTCCTTGCTTTCTCCCTTTGCATTTAAATGGTTTAGTCCACTAATGTATATCTTGAGTTGTTTGTTAAGATAAGGTTTTGTTAAGTTAAGCAGTGTTATGGAGTAAAGTTCTGCTTAGTTTACCTCTATTATGGGTCTATTTCAGTTTTTATTTATTTCTGTGATTACTTTTTCTTTGGATTAGAATAAAACCCACTCTTTAAAAATTACACCTGTGCCTGTATATCCTTTATTTGCTTTGTACCTTACACACCGATTTGTAAGGCATCAGTTCTGTTTGGTACACAGATGGCTTTTAGAATGTTCAAGACACTTTTGAAAACTTACCACAGTTTTTCTGCACATTTAGTCAATCTCAGCATCTCCTTGGGGAATACCACATCATGCTGTTCTTCCTGTTCCTCTTGTTGCTGAAGATAGTGTTTTTATGATTCAGGCGGGATGTTTGAGCTCATTGTCATGCTGCAGAATTTGGGACCAGTCGGAGTTCCTCCTTACAGAGAATGGATGAGAAGAAGCTAAACATCCGAGGTGCCTTAAACTTTTCACTGTATACCTCACA